CACAGAAGGGATGACAGGTGAAAACAATCAGGAAATTAGACACACCAGGGAAACTAACGAGAGACAGGAAAACACGGGGAGAAAGACCAGACAATACACAGGGAGGAAAACATGACAAGGAGAACAGAAAAACACCCACTATCAGACACACAAAACAAAAAACGTGACACAACACAAGAATCGTGACAGAACCCCCCCCCCCCCCCCCCCCCCCCCTCAAGGGACGGATTCCAGACGTCCAAAAAAAATAATTCCAAAATCCAAAAGGGTGGGTGGAGGGGGTCCGGAGGACGGGTCTGGAACGACAACCCAGAGGCAAAGCACAGTCCATGATGGAGTTCTCGGGCGGACAACCCAGGGGCAAGGCAGAGTCCATGATGGAGTTCTCGGGCGGATGGCCCGGGGGCAAGGCAGAGTTCATGGTGGAGTCCTCGGGCGGACGGCCCGGGGGCAAGGCAGAGTCCATGGCGGAGTCCTCGGGCGGACGGCCCGGGGGCAAGGCAGAGTTCATGGTGGGGTCCTCGGCTGGGGAACTCAGGAGACCGGGCTCTAGGGCGAAAGCCGCTGGGAACTCAGGAGGCCGGGCACAAGGACGGGCAGGAGCCGGCGGAACCCCCGGCGGGCCAGGCGCAGACGAGACCCTGGACGGAACAGGACATAGGGTTGGCAGGACCCCCGGCAGAAGAGCAGTCGGCGGGATCCCCAACGGGACAGGACATGGAGTTGGCAGGACCCCCGATGAAACAGGTGGCGGCTGGACCTCCAACGGCACAGGACATAGGGCTGGCAGGACCCCCGGCAGAAGAGCAGTTGGCGGGGCCTCCAACGGCACAGGACATAGGGTTGGCAGGACCCCCGGCAGAAGAGTAGTCGGCGGGGTCTCCAACGGCACAGAACATAGGATTGGCAGTAACCCCGGCAGAAGAGTAGTCGGCGGGGCCTCCAACGGCACAGAGCATAGAATTGGCAGAACCCCCGGCAGAAGAGTAGTCGGCGGGGCCTCCAACGGCACAGGGCATAGGGTTGGCAGGACCCCCGGCAGAAGAGTAGTCGGCGGGGCCTCCAACGGCACAGGACATAGGGTTGGCAGGGCCCCCGGCAGAACAGTAGTCGTCTGGGCCTCCAACGTCACAGGACATAGGGTTGGCAGGACCCCCAGCGGAACCTCCAACGGACCAGGACATTGGGTAGGGACTTGAGAGGGAACTCGAGAGGAGACTTGAGAGGTGATTTGAGAGGGCACTCGAGAGATGACTTGAAAGGGAACTCGAGAGATGACTTGAAAGGGAACTCGAGAGGTGACTTGAGAGGTGACTTGAAAGGAGACTTGAGAGGGCTCTCGAGAGATGACTTGAAAGGGAAATCGAGAGGGGACTGGAGAGGGAACTTGAAAAGGACCTTGACAGGGGACTCGAGAGGGGACTTGAGAAGGAACTTGACAGGGGACTCGAGAGGTGACTCGAGAGGGAACTTGAGAGGTGACTTGAGAGGTGACTCGAGAGGGAACTCGAGAGGTGACTCGAGAGGGAACTCGAGAGGGGACTCGAGAGGGAACTCGAGAGGGGACTCGAGAGGTGACTTGAGAGGGAACTCGAGAGGGGACTTGAGAGGTGACTTGAGAGGGAACTCGAGAGGGGACTTGAGAAGTGTCTTGAGAGGGGACTCGAGAGGTGACTCGAGAGGTGACTCGAGAGGGAACTTGAGTGGGGATTCGAGGGGGAAACTGAAAGGTGGCTTGAGAGGGAACTCGAGTGGAGACTCGAGAGGGGACTTGAGAGGGAACTTGAGAGGTGACTCGAGAGGTGACTTGAGAGGGAACTCGAGAGGTGACTTGAGAGGGAACTCGAGAGGGAACTCGAGAGGTAACTTGAAAGGGAACTCGAGAAGGAACTTGAGAGGAGACTTGAGAGATTACTTGAGAGGGGACTCGAGAGGTGACTGGAGAGGTGACTCGAGAAGAGACTCGAGAGGGGACTTGAGAAGTGACTTGAAAGGGGACTCGAGAGGGGACTCGAGAGGTGACTTGAAAGGGAACTCGAGAAGGAACTTGAGAGGGGACTCGAGAGGAGACTTGAGAGGAGTTTCGAGAGGGGACTTGAGAGGAGACTTGAGAGGGAACTGGAGAGGTGACTTGAGACGGTCAGTACGCCGACAGGACACGGGGAGCTGGCGTTGGCCGGTACGCCGACAGGACTCGGGGAGCTGGCGTCGGCTGGAGAGCCAACAGGTGATGAGGAGCCGGAGTCGGGACCATGGCTGCTGGGCCCGGTACTTGAGCCGGAGCCATGGCTGGAACTGCGGCCGGAACCATGGCTGTATGGGCCGGTTCTGGAGCAGGGACCATGGTTAATCATTCATAATAGATCTTCTGTTACTGTCCTTTCTTCTTAGAGGAAGTACAGAAACACGTAACTCTGGATTTGTTTTAATGTTTGAGGTGCAATAAACGACACAGCAGCTTTTTGGCATGTTAAAACTATTATTTTCTGCCTCACTCATGAGAGTAACAGCTGGCGAAATTACAGCCTCGCCTACTGATTTCAAATGTGTGCTCTAAAATGATATTTATAAATGACTATTATCATTATTATAAGCAAGACAATAAATGGCAAAGATATGTAGAAAATAAACGTATTTAAGATACGTTCATAAGAAACGTAACGTGGGAGAAAATATGTTTTCTACATATGAAGATATGTAGAAAATAAACGTATTTGAGATACGTTCATAACGAACGAAACGTGGGAGAAAATACGGTTCTTGCTAATTGAGAATGCAGTTTAGTTCTGTGGAACGTAATTTTTAGGAGACAGGGTTGCCATAATACATTCTGACGAAAAATACAAATGATTATGAATACAAATAAAATAAAAGAAGCCTCCCGTGAGTTACTACAAGCTATAAGTAGATTTAAAAAACGTTTTATAGAATAAAAGCTCACTGCTGGACGTTGTATAAATGCGTGTATGCACCACGACAAAGGAGCCTCAATCACCTTACATTGGGGTTGTTTGCGTGGTGCAGACAGGTAAATGTAGCAAAGTTCGTGACTCCACCACGCAATGCGGTGTTAAGGAGTCGAGGTGGAGTCACGCATTCTGGTGAGATCAGGTTGTGTACAAATATATCACTCAGTATAACAGGCCTACATTACTCTCTGTATTTGTATGCTGTAGTTTAGTAGATATCTACAAACAAAGAGTCGATATTTTTCTAAGACCATTTAGTGCTTTACATAGGCTAATACAATACACAACGGCTGTAGCCTGATTATGCTTTAGGAGCAGTAGGTGTGTGTGTGTGTAGTGTGTGTGTGTGTGTGTGTGTGTGTGTGTGTGTGTGTGTGTTGTACAGTGCGTAGATGCGGCGGACAGACGGGACTCAGTTGGTTTGGTGTCCTATGCTTACTTTTAAGACTTGTAAATACAACTTTTGGCCCGTAATTTCAATTCCCCATTTCAGCGACCAGAGAGAGAGAGGGGGGGGGGGGACGACGACGACACATCTGTCCATCAGACAGAGGGCTGATGTGCCGCCTGTCATAATTAATGGACGTCTCTTTAAAATGACCGCTCAGAGGAGAGGAGTTCTCATTTCTCTAACCGCCTGCTGCTTCCCCTCCTCTTTCTTCGGTTCCCCTCCTCAGTCCTCCGCTCACATCTCCTGTGGGCGGGACTAACTCACGAGGATAGGAGTCGAGGAGGGGAAATGTAAGAATTGAGAAGCCTCTCATGTTGTTACCCCGGGGATTCTTTTCAGCGACGGACCGTGGGGCCAGAGACAGGAGAGCAAGTGTTTAGTATGTTATTCTGGTAAGTATTTGTTATTATCTTAGCACACTTTATTCGTTAAACTACACTTATTGTGAGTCATAGTTTTGAGCAACAAAGAGATCGTTAGCGGCACCAATCAATATGTTTGTTTACAGGGGGGCGGGGCCAATTCAGCCACCTTGCATCAATAACAAACTGTCTGTTTACCAGTAGATATAACACGTTCAATAAATGGTTTTAAATCATGACATTGCTTGTTTCGTTATTAGCATATATAACTAGCCTACATATATTTTCCTGTGAACTAGAAATGCATACCAAAAGCGTTTATGTGGTGCAAACAATAACATGCTTCACCAATAAGGAATCCAACCAAAGCGTAACGGAGACCGATATATATGGCGTGAGTTCACAGAGATACATGTACACATCAGAGTCCTGCAACCAGAGTTTCCCAGGGGACATGAATGCAGCATTTTGTCCTCGTTTTATCGGCGATTTTCATCGAGTTGTAAGAAATGACAATGTCCACTAGAGGGCACTGCTGTTATTTAAAACAATGTGATGCATTTAAATTAGTCAAAACATCAAGGCTTAATGTTTTGGGTTTACTGTGATCACACTTCAAATGCACGAGACCTCTTCCCTCAGATTATCCAACCATTATTTTTCTCACGAGTTTATTTTTCTATTTATGTTCTATCCCTTCAACACAATATAACAAATAGGCCTACTGAGATCTCTACTGCTTTTTTTTAAATAATAATTATTCCATTTAATTTCCTTTTTGATAAATATTCTTAATTAATGTGTCAGTCAGCTACATGATGTTTCTTTAAACACTGTATCTGCGCGTAAAATCTAATCTAATCTAATCTGATCTGACGTGTTCTTGAAAGCTTCCAGACTCTCACAGACTTTGTGATAAGGAGCAATATAACTCTGTTTGAGTTTCATGAAAATCGTATTGCCATACATCTTCTTTGGTCAACTCTATACACTTCTTAGTAACAGCTGAATACTGCTCAGATATTTTAGTTGTAATGTGTCTTTAAGGAAGGGGCAATATTGCCGACATTGTTTGATTCACTTGTTGTTATCATTTTTTAATCTAAAATAAGTCAACCATTATCCTCTATGGGCTGTGTGGATGGGTTCAGCTCTCGGCTGTTAAAACATCACCAACACAAACTATCCCACACTGCTGTCTGTGTGTTGTGGCGGTCGGTTGGCTGTAGTGCGCGTCTGTTTGGAGCTGTGTGACATGGGATTGTTTGGGAAGCCCTGCACTGAGCGACCATGTGGGCGTGTTTCTCTCGGCCCAACAGTCTCCGCTCTTGTTTGGAGTCCAGAGCGCAAAACGCACTTCTTCTGGTGCAACCGGAGTGCGCAAAAGTAGCAGTTCTCCGACCCTGACGCGCACACCATCTCCGGCTCCGGCGGCCCCCACGAATCCAACTGCTCTGAGCGGGAATTTAAGAGTTTTTCCTCAACATCTCCCGGTGACTCCCAGCCATGGACGCATATCGACTCGTTACGCTTTATCTGTGCCTGCTCCTTGTTTTCCTTGGGAATATACCGTGTTTCCAGTCTGCTGCTATCATCTCTCCCTCTGCACCCAGGAGGAACAGGGGAGCCCGGATCTCTCATCGGGACGGACAAAGGTCATCCAAAACCCTAAAAGACATCTTCACGTCCACGCACCCCATCGTGGGACACCACAAAGAAGACCCAAAGGACTCTATTGTGCCGCATGAATACATGCTCTCCATATACAGGACATACTCGGCTGCAGAGAAGCTCGGACTTAACGCAAGCTTTTTCCTCTCCTCTAAATCTGCCAACACCATAACAAGTTTTGTGGACAGAGGAACAGGTTGGTTTCAGTTACATGCAGCTCTATCAGATCATTTTTTGCATAATTCTGTGGCCTTATTTTATATAATCTTTTGTATAGATATAAACTCCAATCGTGCTTTAAAAGGTTTATAAAAAGATACTTTTACGCACGTTTTAGATCAAGCAAAAATTATGTGCAAATGCACTTTTACGCGCATAAAATATCAACAAATCCTAAAAATGATTGTTTAAAAAAACAAACTTTTGAAAACTACAGTCTCATGTTGTCCATGATAAGCTTTGTGATAGTATTCGTAACTTTTATTCCGCAAAGCCGCCGAAACATGTCACTTTTCCGAGTATTAACTTATATTACGCTTAAATTAACCTCAGGGTAACACGACAGTAAAACACTAATTAAGGCGCTCTCTAAATGAAGGCTGTAAATCACTGTCAGCGCAGGCAGCAGCAATAACTACTCTGCTCCCAAACTCCACGAAAATTCATAGGAAACTTTTATTTATTTATAAGAAAACACCATGGTGTATAATTTTTCGATTTCTTTTAAAATGTAACCTTTTAAATTAGCCATATTTTTTCAACACAAACTGAAACTAACTAACCGTAATCCTGCCAATGTTAAACATATAATCTGTTACCATCATGGTGCCCACTTTGGGCCCACTTTGACCAAGTTGTGCCGCACAAAGGGAGCTGGTTGCCGTTGGCACAGCGGCTCGGGCGGTGTGAGAAGCAGGTGTTTGGGTCAGTTAACATATGTAACCAAGTGATTAGACTGGCCTTCGAGGACAAACACAATCTGATAAACACAAACACATCCAGCACACACAGGGGGACATAAACCGAGTTAATCTTTGCAGGAGAAATAAAAGCTATCTTTGTTTGCGTTCCCTCAGGTCCGAAACACTGCAAAAAATATCCAAATTAGGATTTATTTAGCGCTAAAATCATATTATCTGGCAACGTGTTGCGTTGAGAGTGCATAGCCTACTGATAAAAACATGTTTTTAGGATTTTTGTCAGTGAAGTTCTTCTAATTGAACTTTTGTGACATTTTGCTACAAAACTGCATTGATTTTGGCTGTTTTATGCCATTTTCAGAGTAAAAAAATGAAGTTTTTCAGAGTTTTAAAGCTAAAAGACTCTTTCGTGTGGCCACTTCTTGCAGTGTGAACACATTTGATATGAAAACGCCTCACTTTCTCCCGTGATTCTGATGTGATGTGTCACTGACTCTGACCCCGAGCTGGACCCTCTGAGAGCTGCTTGGCATCGAACGGCTGATTGGAGTATTTGAACTCGGTGATCTAATTGAGTGTTCATGTCATAACATATCAAACACTGTCTATTCTCCCATAATGACCCAGCCCGGCCACGATGGGCACATCACCAACAAAACGAAGAGAGAAAAAAAAAAAAGAAAGAGCACTTCCTTTGCTGTGAAGTGGTACATTTTTTTTAATTGTCTAACTGCGGAACCTCCCTTTGCGACCGCCACTTTAATTACGGAAAATTATTTTTCTTCCCGTTCTCTCAGCTCAAACGCCTTTTGGTTTCTTTTGGGATTCCTCCCAGCATCCCCTAAGTGTTGCATTGCATTAACCTGCAGAATGAACCTCAGCTTGTTATTTAAATCTCCTCCATCAGGAAAAAAAAGAAATGCACATGGGTCTCCTGAGGCGTAAAGAAGTAACAGGTTTTACGCATTATTCATCCACGCGGGGACAGGTTTTACGCAGTGCACCTATGATCTATGGATTCTATGGCTTTCACACGTTGTGTAGGAAGACAAAATGTGCTTATAAAACCAGGCAGGGGTGTTTCCTGGGGGTCAGAGAAAATGGCAAGATCAGAAAAAAAAAAAAAATGAAAATTAGTTTTGGCACTTTGGGTAACTCATTAAAGCGCAGATGGTGCAGCCCAGTCCTCTCTCTCTCTTTCTCTGTGTTAGACGGCAAAAAACATGTTTTGCATTTGTTCAAATACAAGCAACAAGGTCAAACAAGAGTGCACAGGATGCCGGTTTAACCCCCGCAATAAAGAAGTCCACCGCGTTTCTCTCTCCCAATTATCCAGCGTCAAGCATCTTACGCGTAATGGAAAAAATTGGCTTTTCTTTTTTTTACATAATAATGAAATTAAGAAAAGCCCTCGACATTTTTTTAAACTGTCAACACGAATATCTCTCAATAATTCCAGCAGTGTGTCAGTCGCTCCGTGCAGTTTGGAGGCGAATGTTGTCGTTGGCAGGATGGGATGAAATTTAAGAGGGGAAGTGCTTTAATGAGGAAGTTGGGAATTCAGAACTGTTAATTATTTGGTGAACTTGCATTCGATTTGTTTGAGGTCTTATAAAAAAGGAAAGAAGAATCCTAATGCAGACCATACGCGCGAAGTCACTGAAAGGAGCACGAGGTTTCAATCTGCTTTTACTGTTGGAACTCTGCAGGGTTCATGGAGGGAAACTGACAACTACATTCACATATCTCTTTAGAGAGAGTCCTACAAATTATATCACAGGGTGGTTCAGATGTAGGCATGCCACTTTTATTTTATATATGTATTTATCTTAACGTTTAGATGAAATGGAGACAGTAAGGCGAGACAACATGCTTTTATTTTGCAGAAAAATAGACCACACATCAACTATCTTTTAGGCTTTTGAGGTTTAACCCCTGGGTTTTAATGAGTTAAAAAATCGGACATTTAAAAAGTGACATTAATTTACAAATCAACTTGATAAAGTTTTTTACTTATTTATTTAATGGCATTTCCCCTGACAAATCTTACCAAGGATTCTGCGTTTAATCATGAAACAAAGGGGTTAAATATTTGTGTTTTTAAAAATAGAATATATAATGGGTAAAATAACTCGTTTTATTGGATATTAACGGCAGCAAAATCCTATAAATGTTAATTTATACTTTAATAAACTGCAAGCTGAACCTGCTAAACCTAAATGATTTCCATAAAACATGTAAAAAAATCACCACTTCTTCTTAGTTAAAAGCAGTTTCTAACGTGTTTTGGAAACGCTTTTGATCCACACTGTTATATTCATGTCTCTCTGATGGATTATTCGCAGGCCTGTTGGTGTCCCGCAGGGAATAATGCATTAATTGTGTATTGTTCCCTTGAGTGTACAGTATGTCGCATTTGGTCTGTTGTGTCTGGCAGCACCCAAGGGCCTTCCCCTTGTTGTTGTTTTTTTCTTTCTTTCTCTCTTTCTTTGCTATACATCTCTGGAAACTCACCACATTTGTAATGTTCTGCCTGCTGCTGCTATTTAAGAGACTTTGCAAAGAAGTAAAAAGTTTACTTCCACTCTGTCAAAGAGCTGGAAATTCATCATCAATCTGTCATCACGTGAAATGAATGCAGAAGTATTTTCATTAAAACAGGCTGGCTTTGGTTAAAAGTGGCGTTGCATTCAAATGTCGCCAGATTTTATTGGATTATTGTCAATGCGGAATCAAAAACGAATCTTGGCGCTAAAATTGCAGGTGGATACAGAAATATATATACACTTTTTGGAACGAGCAAGATTAGATATATCCCTGTATATGTCATGTGTGCTTAGCATTGCAATATTACATGTGCAACAAATGTGCATGAAATGAAATTAAGGAAGTACAATTTTAGAGAGGAAGCCTAGAAGCAAGCTGTGTAAACTAAACCCTCATTTAGCATTATACATAATTAATGTATTTATACTCAAGGGCATTACATTCGCATTTAATCAAATCAAGGCAAATTAAGAGGAACATCTGTGTTTTTAAGGATAATAAAGTTATAATTCGACAGTTCATACCAATAAATAAAAGTGGTGTTAACTTTGATTTCTTTTTTTGCAAACTGAGGACTTGTCATCTGTAGTTTGTTTCAAGAGAGAGAGAGAAGGCCTCTGTGGGAAAATGTTAGCTCCCCCCCCTCCATCCTCTCTGAACACTGTACACCCTAAGTGAATCTGACTGCAATTATTTTCTTCTTTTTATCCTTGCAGACGATCTTTTGCACTCTCCTCTGCGAAGACAAAAGTATCTGTTTGATGTCTCAACCCTTTCAGACAAAGAGGAGCTGGTCGGGGCGGAATTAAGGATATTCCGGAGAGGGCCCGGGGACCTGCAGACTTCCCTGCAGACGGCGGGCCTCTACGACATCCAGCTGTACCCCTGCCGCTCGGACAGGCTGCTGGACTCCCGGGCCCTGGACCCAATGGACTCCACCAAGGCCGGGTGGGAAGTCCTGGACGCGTGGGATATGTTCAAAGCGCACCAGCATCACTACCATCAGCCGCATCACCAGGGGGGACAGCTCTGCTTCCAGCTGCGCGTCACGTTGCGCAAAACGGACACCGAGGTGGACCTGAGGCAGCTGGGTCTGGGCAGGCGGGGCCGGCCCCAGCAGGAGAAGGCCATCCTGGTGGCCTACACGCGCTCCAAGAAGAGGGAGAACCTGTTCAACGAGATGAAGGAGAAGATCAAGTCGCGGGGGGAGATCGAGGAGGAAGTAGTGGAGAAAGGAGCGTCCTTGCTGGGGGTGAAAGGAGACGGGCCCCGGCGGCGGAGGAGGACCGCGCTCAGCAACCGGCACGGGAAGAGGCACGGCAAGAAATCCAAATCCCGGTGCAGCAAAAAGGCGCTGCACGTGAATTTCAAGGAGCTCGGGTGGGACGATTGGATCATCGCGCCTCTGGATTACGAGGCGTACCACTGCGAGGGGGTGTGCGACTTCCCCCTGAGGTCTCACCTGGAGCCCACCAACCACGCCATCATACAGACGCTCATGAACTCCATGGACCCCAACAGCACCCCGCCGAGCTGCTGCGTGCCCACCAAACTCAGCCCCATCAGCATCCTGTACATAGACTCGGGCAATAACGTGGTGTACAAACAGTACGAGGACATGGTGGTGGAGCAGTGCGGGTGCAGGTAGCGCTCGCTAGATAAACACTTCAAAAAGATGGGTCCCAGGTTGAAGAGAAAGTAAAAAGGGATGCACACAGAGGCGATATCTGCTATTTATTCAGTACAGTCACAATCATTCACTGCCTTAACGTGCCTTGGTTCCCATCCGCGAGTTATCAACAGGCTTTTGTTTCCCAGATACGTGTCCATATGGCACACGGGATGAGTACAAGGCGGGATGGGAGCCCATTGACTGTGCACCTGTTCGTGCCGGGGCCAGGGGACAGTGGGCTCCGCGCTTTGTTCGCAGCTCTGCCGTGTGATCCTGCATGCCAGGCCGGACTCTTTTGGGTATGTGCATCCAGGCCGTAATTGCCACCGTCCAGCTGGAGTCATTACAGGCCCCGAGGAAGTGCCTGTTTTCCAATAAAAGGGTCTACCAAACACACACTCTCACACACACAGACTGGTCCGAGGAGAGGAGATAAGATGGTGGTGCCTTCAAGAGATTTGTTTTGCCTTACACGAGACCAGGAAAAGGACACAGAATCAGACATTGTGCCTGTTGTAAAAAAAGTAGAAAGTAAAAAAGCACACATACTGAGGCGAACTTTTTTGCGCAAAAGTCTGCATCTTTACGAAATGCACTTCCACAACTGACTGAGGATCCGCGGTCAGCGAGAGTTCGTCTGATAAGGACGGAATTATAAGAAATAAAGACTCAGAACGAGACAATATTTAAATGCACATTAGCTTTGAATGCACTGCTGTTCATTTTTTTTCCTTTTTTGAGCTGTAAATATTTTGTACAGTCGAAAACTTTACAAAGTGCAACGATTGAAGAAATGAGAACGCGGCATTTCTTTGTAAATATACAAAATGCACTCAAATCGGTATAATTTCTATTCTATTATTATTTTATTATTTGTGATGTACAGAGTTCCATGATAATCATATATTTCTTACGTTGATAAGAGTAATTTAAGGTGTATTCGATATTTTTTTTTGCAGAGGGTGGAAAATACCATTATTAATGTCTACCTCATAATTACATATAGGATCTGAGTTTTGAGGTGCATTCAGTTAGAGTGTAAAGAGCTTTTACAATGATATATAAGATCATTTATATACATATATTACTGGATAATATTCCACACCATTACTGTACAAATAAAATTCAAAACAAACTCTAACAGTCTGGTAATTTTGATGATTAATGCTACTTTGCAACCTTGTTAAGCATTTATTTTGTAGTGTTCTTTCAACAGTAGGCTATATGCCTCTTCCATAAAAAGCAAACAAATAAATACTAATATTTGGGGCATTTATTTACGAGGGATTAAGAGGCCAAGAAACTATGTTTTTAAAAATAAATTAACTAAATAAGATGAAAATTGAATGAAGGTTTGATAATTTTAAGCTTAAACCTTTCTACCTCATTTTCTTTTAAATTTGTCTTTAAAAAACACTGATATTGTAGAGTTCTTAGTTCTGAAACCGAACATTTCCTTTTATAACGTTCCCCGGTTCCTCTTATGATAATCAATCAATCAATCAATGTTTATTTATATAGCCCAATATCACAAATGTTACATTTGTCTCAGTGGACTTTACAGTTTGTACAAAATATCAGTATGACAATACGACACCCTCTGTCCTTAGACCCTCACATCGTACAAGGAAAAACTTCCGAAGAAAACCCACAGTTTAAAGGGAAAAATAATCTATAACACCATTAACAAGCCATTGTTTTTGGAGCAGTTTAAGACTACACTTAATGACATTACACATTAACTACACTGTAGTGTTTTGATTTGGGAAGAGATGTCCAAATTAACACATACTTTTGACTTTGCTGGACTATAGGAACAACATGTAGACATTTTGAAAATTGGCATATAGTTGCCCTTTAAGTTTAAAAAAATAAACCCCAGAATAAGAGTTGAACAGAGGAGTTTATATCTTAGCCCTAAGGTACGCTAGCCAATCTATCCCTCCCCTGTGTAAACAGTCTCTCATCATAGACAACAAATGTCATTATTCAGTGACTGGCCACCATAAGCATATGGTGACCAAGTGGAAAGAAATCCACTGACTGACTGTCATTGATATGGCACTGAATGTACAAACCCCAGCTATTTCCCAATGAATTAGCCTGCCTGGGTCAAGTTTACTTAACACTTTAATGTTTCCCAATCTGTGGATGTGAAAAAAAAAAGTTTGAAAGAAGGGATTGCTTCCATATAGGCTATCGACCTTGGCCTGGAAACAATTAGGAAATTGCTTTGAAATGTTATATGTTGTCCAGGCTCTTGTACAGTATCATGTCACTCCCCACATGTTTGCTAGGGGGAAACAGAGGATGCTAAGTGCACTCTTTAGCGGTCGCTGCAAATGACTGACACAACAACCATTCCCCTGAGTAATACCAAATGGCCCTCCAGGCTATGTGTCTGGAACACCATCGCCGGGGTGCTACCACCAGCCACGCTATCCCTGCTGCTCTCAAGTGGAAATAGTAAACCATATTAGGGATTGCATTTCTTTTTCTAAAATAAGAAGGGTTTTCTGTCTTTGGAGGATAACCACACTATGCTGGGATTCTTGAGGTACAACTTAAACTACAGTCAAAACCAATTGGTCGTTCAAGAAACAAGGAGAAATATTCATAAATCTATGGGTTCCAAAGTATTATTGGTGGTATATTAAGGCCAAAGAAAACCATTTGTTAACTAACATTAGAATGAACATAACATATAATTCGCTATAGCTGTGGATTAATATGAAAAGTGTTCTGTCTGCTATGTACAGCATCATGGGAGTCATAAATAGCATTTTATTCTTTGAATGAACAAACATAATTTGGTACAGAAAGGCCTTTTTTAAAAGTACTTGTATACTTTTACTTGTATGTACTTGTACTGACATGGGTTCTGTTAGCATACAGTTTTCGCCTTTTGAATTATTTCAATGCAAAACTGGTGTTCTGTTAGTCTGATTCAAATGAGACTCCAATATATGAAGTTATGGGGTCTAATGGAAGTTACCATTGAGTTTTGCATCCAATACAAATCTGAGAATTGCATCCATGAAGAAGCACATAGAGCATTTACCTGTTTCTGTGATTGCTATAGTTTGTACATTGCAGCTATTTGGTTTACAGTAAACGTAACTAGTTTTTCCTGTTAACATATTTCTTGGGACACAGAACATAGTATGGATGTGTATTCCCGGTGATCCCGTTTCCCGGTGATTAAACTTCACCGCAAACCATTAAACTGATTCTGGCTCAGATATACTGTAATGTTTCACAATCAAGTCTACATTTCTAAGCAGCTTCACGCAAACCTGTGGGATAAACCTTTCCCTTTTTGATTTATATTTATTTGACAAGTTCCACGGTCTGGTGGGCACTGGCCTGGAGGTGAGAGTGAATGTGAAGGGAACAGTTAAATGGTGATGAAAGGGAAAGGAATGCTTTGTTTACCCGCTTCAATCCCTCACTCTCAAGTTAAATGTTCCTATAAAGTTCTTCATCACAACCGCCTTATTGTCCCCCCGCTCCACGGCGAGAGCAGAGAGGGCGAAAACAGAGAGTCGTGTTTATTTGAAACTCGCTCCTAATATATTAGTCTAAGCAAACCCAAGTTGGCGAAGAGACGGGTACTCTTGGCCAGAAACACAAATAGTCTTGACACCCCACATCTGTGCGCAAAGGCTTCGCTTTTGAGATCTGTAGGGCTTGCACGAGTGAAGATCTAAAAGGTGTTGCTCCGAGTAGAAGTTCTCAGGAGGCTCTCTGAGATTTAAAAAGAAAGCCTTGGCTGGAATGAAGATGTGAATGTTCCTCGAGCATCACCTTTCCTTTATCAGTGATGTCCTCATCAGCGACAGGAAGGGCATAAATCAGCCTGATCTCTTAGACGGCGAGGACCTCTAAGCAAGCAGACATTTGTTTAACTGGCATTAAGGAGCATTAGAAACGTTACAGCTGAGACTTAGATCTCATGCCTTGATTTGTTGCATGGATACAATTTAAATATCGAAGAGAAAGAGCTTGGACGTTGCCAAGGCCTGGCTTTTAAACTGCTACTGATAAACTCCAGCAAGAACTTATTTATTTTTCACTGACTGTTTCTCTCCTCACTCTCCCTCTCTTTCTTTATTGCCTCTAGAGGGATCCCACCTTCTCTGGTTTCTTCTATTTCCCACCATTATGGTTTGCAGATACTGTAGTTCCTTCTATTATAAAGCTTGACACCTTTCTCCAGCCAAGAACTCTGGCCAATGCGAGATGGTGCGCTAAACAGATGCGGAATAAAACCTCCCAGACAGAACTCACGTGTCCACGCTCACACGCAACTTTAAGGAGTGGATCTTCCTGTATTTGTGTGTCTGCGAGTGTGTGTGAGGGGACAGAAGGGCAGCAGCGTACACAGATGGACAGATGAGTGGTGCAGGGGAGCAGCAGATGCCTGAAGTGACCCCTACTGCCGCCTTTCATTGAACCACTGGCTTCAACACAAAGGCAGGGGCGGCTCCAAACATTAAATACACTTGCTAGTGCCTTAAAGGCAGAGGTCACTGCTTTTTTCTCTCTCTCCTGCAATCCATTTATAATCCAATTTCTAAAACAAAAATGAGTTTTGTAGAACTGTTTAGAATTGCTTGTCAGAGGGGAACATAATTGTAAAACATTTTAAGGGAATACTCCATGGATAACATTACCATTTGTAGGTGAATGTTTCCCCTTGAACTTTTAAAGAAACATTGTTTTTCTCGAATGCGTACACATTGAACGAAGAAAAACGTCAATGGATGCCTAATTATTTCAAGACATCCCTTTCCTACTTCTGCAATATAACCTGTATAATAAGTATCATTTACCCCATCGTATGCTTACTACTTCTAAAAAACATGAATTGTTCCTAAAAACGTACTCGACAAAACACTTCTGCATTAACAGTCCCGCTAGCATGAAACTTGTCCGGACATGTTCAAAGGATATTAAACTCAGCCCCCTTTACCTAAACTCATCAAGCCTTATTCCTGTTTTTCCTTATTCTTGTGTACTAAGGAGGCATGCGAGAAATACAACGCTTTCTTCAAGAATTCAAGGTAATATTGGGTGAGTAACTGATATACAGTCATTCTGTGGGTTAAAGATAAAGACAGCGGTGGTTGGCTGCACTTGACAGCTGCTGTTTGAGCAGAAACAGAAAATAAACCCTAAACAGAGCAGCCATGTAACAAAAGATCAGGGTGTTTCCTCTATGGGTGCATCTGCCTGACTCTTCCTCTGCCTCTTCCTCCTCTCTCCTCCCTCCTGTCAGACCATACGGTAACAAGAGGAGAGCAGACACCTCCACTTCTCCACAGATAACCTGCTAATTGCGTTAAACTCACTCCCCAACTGGGAGTGTGAAATGTGAGAATGAAGCCATTGCTGTTATTCAATTGCAGTAGAACTTTGCTCTTATGTGCATTTTTTATCTTTGCATTACATTCTTTAATGAACTCAGAAAAACGACTTTAGTCAACTTGATAGATCTACTTGGAATACCTGTCCAGAAAAGCTCTTTTGTTCTGTTTATTTTCTAAGGGAATGTCTGAGGGTGCCCTTTCACCCCTCCTCATCCATTTACTACCCCTGGTCTATGTTATAGATGGTGACCTGGGTCCTTCGCCATCCCTGATTAACAAGTACACCTTCTGATTTTCCTTGCAAACCTCTCCGCAGAAAGGAAGCTTGTCTTTTTGTGTGCTCGCAGTTCATCTTTTTGTGTCCAAGTGTCTCTGTGTGAGGGTCTGAATGAGCTTGAGTCAAAAGCAAATTTACTCAGTTAACTCTGACAATGCTCATGTTTGGGAGCAAGGCGAGGACATGACCTCGTTGCCAATTCACATCCGCGGAGGCTTGTGGAGAAGAGAGGGAGGGTCGTTGACCAACAGGGGCCTGGACAATGGCATTCACTGGTCTCAGGCACTCGGCCCGCGGGACGACAAATTAGGTCTAAAATGCACTCTTTGAAATGCAGTGTCAAAGGAAAGCAGCTCGATAGAAGCCTAGAAATAGCAAAAATATAGAAAAATCAAGACTCTCAGAGTAAAATGTGCAACCCTTTCTGCACATTAAATGCTCATATATTTTTATAAAACATGCAGAAACTCAAAGAAGGCCCTGTGCAGTAAAGAGCATTTCTGCATTGTAAAACGAGACATAGGCAAACAAACATGGGTCAGGGGCAATGAGGCAGCAAGACAAGGATCTGACTTTGGAAGAGGTGGGGGTGCTGGTTGGGTGGAGGAGTGTAGGGCGGCGGGGGGCAGGAGGACTTGATGGACAACTCTACAACTCGGCAGAGGCAGAGCTTTCACTTAAAAATGGTGCCTGGCCTATCTCAAAAGGTCAGAGCCCAGAACACTAACACACTACATTAATCATGAGAGGCTGCGGCTTACCTGTCTAGCGTTTCAGCCGTGCCGTACAGTTAACCTCAATTATGCTTGATTACGAGGTGTGGAAGAGGCAGGGCCCGGGCAAAAAATCAGGCATCAATAATGCAATTTCAGATTAGATGTGCCCGTCTGTCACTGCGCAGAATGGACGGAGTGGGGAACAGGGTCAATGAACAGGTAAAAAGCGTGTTCCTGCAATACGATTCGCTTCGTGCCTCCTTTAATCCCTTCACATCGTGATTCAAAGATTGAATGAAGCGGCAACATATGCATACACACAGGCATACGCATATGAGACAAAAACACATACACCAAAGCATTGTGTGGTGAACCAAAGAGAGCTAAAGGCTTCATGCTGTCCCAGCCCCCTTCTTGGTAATTGCCCCATTATGTGTTGGTGGTGGATGGAGCCATTACAGATGTTTTATGACGGGGCCATTTTCATTTTGTCTTCACAATGAGGGACAGATTTATGGTGCAAAGGCAGTCTTCTATTCAGGGGTAGGAACCTCTTAACACTGCATTCCCTTAAACACAAACACATCAAAACAGAAATGCTTAAAAGTCATTACATTTATCTTCTATTACTGCGGCCTGAGTTGCCCTACGTTAGCTCAGCTCACTGTAGTGCCCACTGCTGTTGGCAGTAGCTTATGGGATGAATACATGTTTGATGGCCCTGTGGAACAAGGCACACTTCCAGGCCGGTTGTCAGTCTGTAAACTAAGGGGGGAGGGGGGTGTTGCTGGGGGAAGATCTCCTCGAAGAGTCCCCGGTCTATGGGCAAGCAGCGGGCCTCGAGTAAAACCAAGCCTGACACTTTCTCACCAAATGTTATCCTACTAAAAGGAACCATCATAAAGGGCAAAGTAAACACCAGTTAGCTTTTCAGAATGAATCTCTTTTAGCTGGCAGTAAAGTGTTTGAAGTGCTGACGACTCCTTGGCTGTGCGGTTTCTTTCCCAGATGCTGTTTTGGTGTGGTTCCCCAGAGTTCCCATTTGGAAATCAAATCTTCAGCTCGGTCGGTAGCTTTAATGCCAAGAAAAATATCGGCCATAAATTGGTGCTTGAATAGGCAGCCTAATTACAGGGCTGTGGAATGGAAATGTACCCTCAACTCATGGATACAATTATTAGGGTTAACAATAGGGACACGGGTAGAGATCGGAAAGTTTCAAAGAGTTCAACTTATTCGCTTAGGGAGGTTTTCTAAAATAAGAGTATGTCCCGTTTCTGTGTCAGAAATAGTTTCCCTTTAGCACGCAAAGTTGTCAGGTTAACAAACAAGGTCAGCAGAGGAACACTCATTATTAATGATTTACCAGAGTAGCACAAAGAGAGCTGGAGAGACTAGATAGCCCAGAGGACCCTGGGGTTTGGACTGAAACACGGCCTCATCATGTTACACACACACCGGCCACTGTGACATTTCTGACACCTCGCTCCTATCAGCCCCACCTGCCCGGCGATGATTGATTTTCTCATTGTGATGTCTCTTTGTTTGACTTCACAGACAAATCCAACAGTTGTTACTCCGAACAGCCAATTTCCAATGCATCTGTTTTGAGCAACATCAGGAAATCCGACCTAGAGTGGAAATGAATGATGTACGGCTGACCATGTCCGAGGTTAGCTTCTGTCAATTCTCCAAAATACTGCTCTTTATTCACTCCAGCATAAATTCTCCCGCTCTGGCATGAGGAATGGAGTGAGGTTTGTTTGACCAGATGTAGCTTTTTCAGGGACTCTCTCACATCTCTAAGCTCAGGCACAAGA